TGTATATGACCATAATATGCATCCAATAAAAGATTTAAAAATCATGTTTCAGTCCTTTAAATTGCTAGAATAAGACTAAGCATTTAAATCTTCTAAACAGTCCAATAATTGATGCAATTTACAATAAATTAAAACATCAATTAATCCAATCTAAGCATAATTATTTTCAAACAATCAACTACACTTATAACACTGCTGAAACATGATTAAACGCTATTAAATCATGTATAGAAGAATTACTAAATTTCAGCAAGCAATTAAATCAACTAATCGATATTTAACATGTAGGCTTTCTCTTTCACTTCATGTTGTTCCATTCCTTAACACATTAATGTAATAATGCTTCCAAGTATTTTTATATGTTTGAAACAATTGTTTAAACCATTAAACACAATTTAAACTACTTTAAAATACCCCAAACGGCCAAACAGAACCTTAAAAACCAACTTTTGCAAGTTCCAACGCAAGAGCAAGCTCTCAATTTTAGAGAGCCAGCTCTTTCTTCATGTGGGAACCGGCTCTGAAAGGCTGGGAGCCGGCTCCCTCCATGTGGGAGCCAGCTCTATCCATGTGGGAGTTGGCTCCTTCCTTTACTAAGCTAGTTCTCTCTCTCTCTGAGAGTCGTCTACTCCATTATGTTCATCTTCTTTGCCTTCGGTGATATGCAAACCCTCTGTACTGTTTATATTAATATTCTTAGGATTCAATCTCTGTCCCAGATTAATTATAAGCAGTTACTATGCATCAACGACATGAATTAAACACAAGTTTATAAACAACAACAACAAGATTTAATTAAAAACATCAATCAACCATAAAGCAGTTTAATTCAACGCAGATAAACTCAGTTCAAACATGCTTAAAAGATATATTTTAACATCAATTTAAACCCTAGAGACTACCTAGGCATGCACAGAACACGGGTCTAAGGGAAGGAGTTAGAATAGAAACTTGCATTCGGTTTTAGTTTTGAAACCTTAAACTACCGTCTCTGAGTTTTCCAACAAATTCCTAGACTGTCGTTCAACACCTCCGTTGCTCTTGGTTCAATCCAGAAACAATCCCTTCCTTCCTCCTTGAGCCTCCATGGTTTTCTCTCAAGTCTCTCTCTATTTTCCTCTCAAGTTTCAACGTACGTGAATAGGGTTTTCCAACCCTAAACAAAATTATATGGTTATATTTATAGGCTTAGGAAAACACAAACCCTAATACAAATTATATTGAGAGAAGGAGAAAGACAACAACTAAGCCTATAACCAAGTTGTCTATACCAAACGTGACTACCTAAACGAATACAAAACCCTAATTAAACACTTAATGAAAAAAACAATTAAATTTCCACATAAGCATACGTTAATGAAAAATAAATAATTACAACGCATAACTCAATTAAATAAAACAACAAATAATTAAAATAAAATAACAAATAATTAAAACACATAACTCAATTAAATAAAACAACAAATAATTAAAACACATAACTCAATTAAATAAAACAGTTAATCAAAGAATTTAATTAAATAAAAACAATTAACAAATAGGCAAATAAATATGCAAAGAAAAATGTAATAAAACAATTAATTAAAATGCTGAGTCTATCCTTTTAAAATTAGGGGTATTGCAGTAGGCATCTTGGAGGTCTGTTCCAAGTTCAATCAACCCAACAAAAAAAAAAAAAAAAAAAAAAAAAAAAAACAAAAAAAAACAAAAATCTCAATAACATTCCTTGATACGAGCATAAACTATCTTCAAATTTCAAATTGGTCCATGTTAAAGTCAAAATTGGAATACTTCCAAGCCTTCAAAAAAATTAGAGAAGGTAAAGTCAACAACGCTCCTTGATATGAGCTTAAATTATCTTCAAATTTCTGGCCAGTCCACACCGAACTCAAGCTTAGACTACATAAGGCTTTGCTAAGATAAGGCGAAGCTCCATCTTCAAAGAGGATTACACTAGTGCAAGCCGTCAACTCCAAATCAAGCTTTGTCTTCGAAACTAATACATAAGTGCAGTTGTACACAGTCAAGTTCTTATGGAGATTATGTTCAAGCCCACTTGCGTAAGTTGTTAAGTTCAAGTCAAATTTCACATTCGAGAGTGATGTCTAGATACACAAAAACATAATGACAAATTCTGGTGGAGTTTTTTATTCAAAGGCGGATGCACAAGCATACTTGTGCAACATGTCAAGAACATGTCAAGATTCTGATGGAGTTTTGCTGAAAAGTTTGTCAAGTTTGCTTTATTTGGGATTTTGGTCAGAATTTGATTGCCTTCACCATTCATTTCACTCTTGACTTTTATCAAAGTGGATTTCTCTGCCCAAAAAAAAAAAAAAAGCAGCGGAACTCATGGGTACAAAGGGACAAGTAAAAAATATGATGGGTCTTGAAATTTTTTACTTGTCCCTTTGTACCCGGCCCAGTTATAATTTTGTTCTTATCAAGAGAGGACACGTGTCATTATCCTATTAATCCAAGAAGTCTATAAATAGAGGTCTGGAGAAAGGAGGAAAAGGGTCCAGAAATTCAGAGACTCAGGAAATCCAAAGGGCCAGAAATCCCAGAGAGAAATACAGAAGCTTTACCAGCATTCATCCCAACACCTAAACTTGAAGGCGAAGAGCAACAAGCACATCAAATCGTGTCGTTCTTCATCAAAACTTCACAGTGATCAACAACAAGCAAATCCAAAGTTGTGCCATTCTTCACCAAATTCAACAAATTCTTTCTTAAGGCGAATAACAACAAGCACATCCAAAGACGTGTCGTTCTTCCTCAAATTCAACAGAGGACAACAAGCACATCAAAATCGTGCCATTCTTTCCCTGCAATTCAACAAGTTTAAAGAATCATCAAACAACACTGTTCGAGATCAAGCTTCGTCAGTCCTCGATCAGAAATCATTGGCGATCTTTTTCAACTAAAAATATTTGAAGAAGATTGTCAACAATCCGATTCAAAATCAAACTCCAATAGCCCTTGGATCCAACCAACAAAGGAGATCGAATCAGATGATATTTTCTTTCTTTTGTAAAGAATATCTCAGAGGATTGTACTTAATTTTCATAAGTAAATAAATTACTATTTGCTCCCTATTTTGTTATTTATTTGCAGACTACGAAATTTGTGTGTACAGTCCCAAACGCCGTCGAAACCATCACCACACCAAGACAACACCACTAACATACCTAGACGTTACCAGAACCACCAACACCACCACAATAGAAAAAAATAAAATAAAATTTTTGAAACACCCTAATAAACCTATACACCACCATAACCATCACAGCCACACCCAATTCACACCATAACAACCACCACCAGAGTAGAAAAAAAAAAAAAAATATATATATATATATAGTCATGGCCAGTCCAGACCCACCACAATGGGGGGAAAAAAATAGCCATGTCCTAGACCGGGAAGAGAAAGTGGGAGTGTCGGCAGTTATGTACTAAAATGAAAAAAAAAAAAAAAAGAGTTAAAAATTAAGGTAGAGAAAGATGCTTAATGATAAAGGTAGTTTTGTCAATTAACATGGTTGATATTTTGTAAATTAGTTGAATTAAATAATTAAGGGCAAATATGACATTTGAAACCACAAGGGGTGTCATTGTTAAAAAAATTGTTGACCTGCATCTAAGTGACATTAACCGAAACCTCAAGACTGTCAATGCAATTTACCCTAAAAAATATATATACACTATTTCTATTATTCTTTTATTATTTTAAATTTTTCTAGCTTTTAAACATAAACACCTATTAAATTTTAAGATTTACTAACTTTTAAGTTTTATTAACGGTTAAAAATTCATCTATTACGCTATAATTAAAAATAATAATATTAGACTATTTGAAAAAATCTTAATATGTGAAATCAATCTGATTCGACGAAAATGCTTAATATGATCCGATCAAATTCGCAAAGCAACGAATCAGATTGAATTCAATTTTCATCGTACAAAAACCTAATCCCCCAATTCGTTTAGTGGTCACAGCTAATACACACATGCATGAATTAAATCCTCTTCTTTAATTTTTTTTTGCATTCCTTGCTGCGTAACTTCAAATATTCATTTTGATTTTTTTTTTTTTTTGACGGTGAATTTCAGTGAATTTTACTATTTTTATTAGTCACTAAAAATAAGTGAAATTATAAATATGTCATTCAAATTTGGTAGTACTAAAATTTTAAGTGTCAGTTTGGTGCAATGTAAAAGGGAGGAAAGGGAAGGGAAGGTGATGGAGGGTGATTAAAAATTTGTGTTTGGCAAAAATTGTTGGAAGGAAAAGGGAAGGAAATGGAAGGTTTTGGAGGGTTATGTTAAAGTTTGAACAGTATTTTGCTTATCCTACAGAAAATGAGAGGAAAAGGAAAGAAAGTGAAGGAGAGGGTTGATATATTATTTGTGATGCCAAATTTGCTCTCAAGATTACATATACATAGAAGTTAACAGTTGCATAGAGAGTGAGAGACGGCGGCCTGGCGGCTGAAGCTTGCAAACGACGAACCCGAACTAGAACGATGGAAATTGAAAGATATGGGTTTTGATTTTCTAAACAATATACTGATATGGGTTTTGAACTTTTGATTCTTGTAGTGTAGAGAGAGAGAGGGCAAGTTTAGAGTTGAGAGCGAGAATAGAGACGAAGGCGAGATTGGGGAGGCTGAAATGATTTGCCCTAAATTTTTTCTTCCGGCTCATCATCTACGGGCCTGCTAAAGGTATAGGATGTTATATATATATATTTATCTTTCAAAATATAAAAGAATATAATAGTTAATTTATTAAAATAATTCTTTTTTTATTTTTTCTTTGTTTTTTTTTTTCTTAATATAATTATTATTCTTCTCTTTCTTTTCTTTGATTAAATCAAATACAACGACCGATTAAAATTATCCATCCCTTTTATTTCTTTCCATTTTTCTTTTCCTTCAAACCCACCGCACGCACCAAACATAACGTAAGGCAAATACGGGTAAGTTTGTATCTCTACGAGGCTTGTAATTCGTTGCGGAGACTTCAAATTAAAATAGGCAAGTCATTTGATTTTCAAAAAGAAACCCTCCAAACCCCAAAATTCCCCGCCACCATGGTGACATCCTCTTCCCCACCAGATCCTCCACCACCCACCGCCACCGCCACCGCCCGTCTCTTCACAAACCCACCGCGAGACCCAAGACCTCCAACGCCACCACTCCCTCAACAAACTCAACCCAATTACCAGCACTCCACTCCATACCCACCTCCATCTCAACAACAACAACAACCACCCCTTTACACAGCTCAATCCCTGCCGGCTCTCGCACCCAGAGTCCCCTCCAACACCATTCACCACCAATTAGGCAAGTCCCGTGACCACCCACCTCATGGAATCCTCTATCCGGTCGCCTCCTCCGGTCGGGGCTTTCTTCCCAAGGCTATTCGGCCCAAATTGGCCGATCAGACCGTCACCGTCGCAAACCCCGGTGGCTTCCCGCCTCGCTCTGCTGTTGCAGCCGCATACCCTCAACCGGTTCGGCCTTATGGGTTCCCTCATTCTGACCCTCAGGGCCAGAATGTTCACTTAATTAGGCCAGCTCACTTGCAGCACACTATTATTGGTTCTTCTGGTGGCGCAATAAGGGGCATGGTCAACGGCGTTCCGGTTTCGGCGCACCCCAAGGTTTGAATATCCTGATGCTTAGTTAGTCACACTTTCTTTGCATTATCAAGTTTAATTTTTGTTTTTTTGGGCTTGTTGGATTCTGAGTGACTGTGCTTTAAAAGTAACTGAAATGAGATGATGGTTTCTCTAAAATTTGATAGTTTCTATGTTGGAGATTATGCAAATTAGGATGATTTGACCAATTTGAACACGGTGACACCCTCATTTCAATTACAGTAGAGAATCTTGAAATTCAAAGAAAGAGAAGATAACCTCCATTTTAAGATCTTGTTGGATATGTGATTTTTGTACTTAATCTTTGTCGGAATTTATCTTTGATAATGTCTATGTTCTCTGGCCCGACTGCACTTCGGTCATGCTTTCTTCTCTTAATAGAATTAGAATTTTGATCTGAAATTCCAGGTCTACGGAGTTACAGACCTTCTCATACCACCCCCTTTATTTGGAGATCTGGCATTGATGATCTATTTTAAGTTGAAATTCATTGATGCATAGACCTGTCAAAGTTTTAGAATTGGAGCCCCCGTTATTCAATTTCAAAGTCTGAACCGAAGCAATTATTTATGAACCCAAAAATGACCTTTTGATCCAGTTTAGAAGGATGCTGAGACTCTTTGGAGAATGCAGGAGACCTTTTAGTTTATGAAAAGGAAAACTATAATAGATAAATGGTAAACTTTGGTTGGTGCAGATACTATATGAGCTTTTAGGCCTGGCAAATTGCTCCTGAATTTGTTTTTACTGTTAGTTTTTGGTTGATCGATCAATTGTTGACCAAGGATGTTTAACACATAGCCATGTGCCAATAATTGACCAAGTAATGACTTAACTACTTTGTTACTGGCCACTAGCTTTTAAATTTTACTCTCATATTGTTTAATTTTGACATATTGAATAAGTGAAGCTTGGCCATGAGCTATGTTACATGGACTCGGGTATGTTTGTCAGGTGCAGGTACGTATCTAAGCGTAAGACGTGTCAAATATCCAAAACAAAAGATAGAGGGACCCTGGTAAATATTCATACTATTTAAATTTTATAAAAAAAATAAGGCATTTCGCTTCTTTTGAAACTATAATATAATAAATTGAATTATTTGATATACTTTATAAGCGCAAATCCAACAAAAATTGTTGGACACATATCCCATACCCATGACCCATTATTGCGTGTCCGACATGGGTACTTCACTTACTTTTGAAGAGTTCATGTAACATAGGCCATGCGAAGTTTTTGACCTGGCATACTGTTTTGCACATGTAGCTTACTAGCTAAATGTCACGAAAAAATTTATGAATTGCTTTCGGGACTGTTAAAATAGTTAAAAGTAATCTGATTTTTAAGAATTAATTGTATAGTATCTGACTTTATTAGCACATTTTATGAGTAGGAGTTGCACTAAATGTTCAAGTGTGATGCTCATGCTCTGATCTGACAGCTCTGTTACCTCAATGCATCTCTCCCTGTATTTATGGCTAACATCCTCAGGTTTGGTCGGCTATATTATAGGTTTTTTGGTAGAGAAGATTTTGTAATTTTTATACACCGTATGTACACAGGTTGCTCCCTGTTTCTCACTTTCTTTTGGACCACCTTCATCTATTCCTCTCCCCCCAAGAAAATAAAAAAAGAGAAAGTTATCTTTTTATCCTTCTTTGCTGGCACGCTGTTCTTAGTTAAAGACAGTGTGATGTTGTGGTCCAAATTTTGTTTCGGACGGGTCGAGTTGTGATCCATTTGACCTGAAGCCCTTGAGAATATTTGTTTGACCTGCTTTTACTTCCGGGTCGTGGACCTTGTTTAGTACTCTCTTTGCCCGGTATTTAAGGGCGCTTAGGGTTTGGAGTGGGACAACGAGAGAACTGAAAATCGCAGAAAAGAGTGAGAGCGAGAGCTAGGGTTTGTGCGTGGTGTGTTTATTTTGCCGTGATTCTTGTTTTGTTCATGGTTCACTGTGTTTTTCGTAACAGATTGTTGTGAATGGTTTCAAGTAATTACTTGGTTCCAATAGTGGGGGATGCATTAGGAAAGAGATAAAGGATTGAGCAAAGTAGATCAAAACAGGTCAGGACTTCAATAGATGATTGGATATGGTATATTGAAATTCAGGATATATTTTGCCATTTCACCCTATTTAGGGCTATACCTTCTGTTAAACCGCACATGGTGATTTCTTTCACTGGTAATTCAATCCATACTTATTATTGTCTTTTTGTTGCCTTATTGTTTGTCTCAATGTGGATCACGTCATTCTTCGTACTAGTTAGGTAGGAAAATTGAGTGAAGGTTAGAATGTTTATTGGTTTCAAATTTGCAACTGGATATTCCCTCTTTTGGAAATTTTATCAAGTATCAAGATGGTTACACACACACACATATATATGTATGTATGTATATATTTCCCTATCATTTATGGTAAGTAAGTACCATTTGTTAAGAAAAGAACCTTTGGTGTTTCTTACCATTCTCCTTGTACTACATCTTCCAAGCAAAAGTTTTGAACAATTTAACTTGATAAGTGAGCACTCGTGCATGGGCACAATGGCCTACATTGATTTTTCTCCATATATGACATTCCTTCTAGTGATAAGTAAGCACTTGTGCATGGGCTCCTAGTTTTTTATGTGTGTGTCCCTTTCCAATTATTATTATATTCTTATTTTTGATTATTTCTGAAATTATTCTTGTATGAAAATCTTATGGAACAAAAGTTCTGTATTATGTTTGAAATTGTATGGTGTCACCCTATAATTTGGTATAGTTCTATAGTGAGGTCTGGATTCACCACTGTAAAAATACAAATACATATTATTTTAATGACAATTCCCCTTTTTAGGTGTACAGTCCACTTTTGGTATAACAAGTATACCCAATGACAAATTTGGTACTGTAATAATTAAAAAGTTGCAGGGTATCCCAAACCTACACGTTATATTGATGAAAATACCCTTTTGAAATGTATATGGTATACTTTTGGTATAAATTTAAGGAGGTGATAAAAACATGTTTTTTGAATATCATGAATTCTAGCATCCTATACATAAATTATAGGGTGATCAATTGTATTTTTATATACCACTGATGGTACTTCCAAAGGCCTTGTTACCTGATGGTACTTCCTCACCTTCCAAAGTTGAAGGTTGAGGTTTCGAGTCCCCATAGGGGCAAAAGTGAGTGTGAGTGTTTTTTGCCAATGAAAAAAAGAAAAACCTTACGGAACAAAAGTTCTGTATTATGTTCAAAATTGTATGGTATCAACTATATATATATATATGTATATATATGCACACACATGGTCTGAATTGTGCACCTTTTTGCTCAACTGACAGAAGCTAATGATTTTTCTTGTAATCCTCCATCGGTAAATTTTTACCAACTTTCTGTCATTCTGTGTGGTTTAGGGTTTCACTCTTAAATTGTTTCAAACATAATTGTCAAATCCCAATGTTGTGTTGGTGAAATACAGTTAGGTGTGCAAACGATCTGAGATTCTGAGTTACTTAAGCACACATAGAGTTTCGACTTAGTTTGGGTTTGTCAAGCTCGTTTTGTGGTTTAATTTCAAACAAGATTTGAAGGTTGTCCAAAGTTGAGCTGATCCTGAGCAACATCCTACTCTATGTGGTAGGATTTGGTGTGGGAGAGAGTGATCTGTTATCATTATCATATGCTCTTTAATAAATGAAATCACAAAATTACCCCTTAAATGTTAAGTATAAGAGTACCATTTGGAATAAGTGGAGTGTGAGAGTGCTTGTGAAGGAAAATTCCCTTTCTGAAATTGTCTTATTCTTTTAGTGGCCAAATCTAAGTGAATGGTGGAAAGATGTCATAACTTAAATTTGGTCAAGTCAGGTGAGTGCTGGCATGAGTCAAGGGCTGAACCTATTTGTAGTTACCAACCAAAAATTTACTGCTCTCAGAAAAAGTAAACCACCAATTGATGCGTACTTTTGTTAGTCAATGTTGCTGTAGGTGGGTTTTTCACTAAGTAGCAAATAGAGTTCAAGCGGTTCATAAACATTTTGAGCTAAGCTTGGAGCTCAAACATGATTAAAATTCAACTGAGTAGAGCCTGGGCTATCTAATTCTTGGCCTGGTTTGTTCAGTTACATCCCTAAAAGTAGTGGCCTAGTGGGCTTCCTTATCTATCAATTGGTTTGTTTCTCCATCTAGTTCAGGTGTTCAACCATTTGGTTTCCCTCCTTTGGACCTATATATCCTGCCTTTAAACTTAGGGGGTGTTCCATACTGGGCGCTAATAGATCATAGATGGGTGCAGAGTTAGCGACCCGATCAAGGTATTCGAGTTTTTTCCCGTGTGTGTCTGTGTATATATATATTGATGTTAAGTTTTGCAATTATATTCAATTCTCTATTAATTGATAATTATTGGAGAAGCAAGATATATTAACTACTTATCAAAATCCATTTGTATTAAATTTTCTTTGATTTGGCACCTAGAACTTGTTTAAAGTATGTAACCTCTCGCACAAGAAGGCAAGCAAGAAAAGACTTTGTGCACATCTTTTAGAGAACATCTCAATTTTTTCACAATTCTATTTTATGTCTATTCTAAGCATGGAAACTTTACATTATCATTATTTATTTGTTACTGCCTTTAATGTATGTGTAATAGGAAGGGAATTTTATAGATTTGATTGTTTGAGAATTTTATTGTCTAAGAATGAAACATACAATTACTTTAATATTCTTTTTGTTTGTCTGTCTGTTTGTTTGTTTGTTTATTTATTTTTTTATTTATTTTTATTTTTATTTTATTTTATTTTATGTATATTCCATTACAATAAATAATTTTCTAAGCAGTTACTTACTATCAGGGTGGGATTGTTAGTTATCCACTATGGAACCATGTTCGTTTATCAAGTTTAATTTATCCACTGCAGAACCATGCTGTTTTACAATTATGAGAAATTGCTAATTCATTAAATATGAGTTGCAAGAGGCGTGGTGTGGGAAAAAAAAAATACAATGAGAAGCTTTCACAACAAATCAAGAAATACAAAGCTCAGTCATGTTGTGAGTGGGAATCACAACACACAGCTGAAATGCCAACTAATAGGAAGAGGCAGTGAGCTCTTTCTTTCTCTCCTCTTCTTACAGTCACTCTGCTTGCCTCTAAAATGAGACAAGCATGCCTATTTATAGAGGTCTTTGATGGTCCAGAATGCCTCACTATTTTTCCTCATTAGGATGGGAACTCCACGTGTCCCTCTTGTTGGCACCAGGTCACTTGAGTGCCAAGAAAATTCCTTCTTCAAGGAATTATCTGATTCTCATCTGACGAACACCATTCAATCCTCCAAGCCACTATCTCCTCGATTTCCCATTGTGGGCACTATGTCAGTCTTCGCATTGGTCATGGCCTATATATTAGTGGCTATCACCCGGCCATATCTACTATGCAGTTGATTGCGTCCCGTATGCACTCAGATTATGTGTGCACCCATATCTCAGCGTCCTAACCTTTGAGGAACCAAGATTATGACTGTAAAATCCCCATCACCATACACTGGTGTTCATATTAGTAACCAGGTCTAAACTGTCACATAAATTGCTTTGCTGCAATTATTTTATTCTCATATAAGTAATGATCGTCTTTGGGATACTGCCATGGAATTATGAGTTAACTTCCGGCATGATCTTGGGGAATGGGTCATCATTGAGTCCATTGTTCTCTGTCATGGCGGCCATGTCACATTCTCATTGCTCGGTTCACCAAGCTATGTCAAAACTTGAGGTTGTAGCAGACCCAAAACATTGCCTCATGATTCAGGGCCCTGGGATATTATTATTATAATCAATATATTTTTTTTGATAAGTTCTAAAAAAAAAAAGTTATGAAAGTTATTTGGTTAATGTACTCACTGTCCTATGGTCATCCTTTATTGTTGGTAATTATTACAGCAATTCCTTACTCTTTCCTGCAGTTTGTATTTTGCATTAGTGTTTCATATGCATACGTCCATTATTGTTTAGGTTATTAGCATTAGTATGTGCCAATATGTGTCTATGAAACTATATTGGTTTGTCAAATATTATTCGCTATGGAACCGTTTTGGTTGATCAATTATGAAAGACTTTTAATTTATCAAATGTTAATTGGAAGAGGGTTAATTGTATGTTGCATTATCGTTTCACATCCTTTAGTCCATCCTTGAGGGGGTTTGTCAGGGTTTAAGGCGCAACATTTGTCTCAAAATCAGTTATATGTCAAGAATTCATCAATTCTTCACTTGTCGTTTTTATTATAATAATCTTAAAAGTGTAGGAGTACCGATCTATTTACAATTGCAATATGTGCCAATATTAGTATAAAGGACTGAAGGTTTAGTATCATCTCTTGATGTATAACGCTATTTTTAAAAATGCTGAAAAAATCTATTATTAGTGCACTTAGCAGAATATATAAACTAACATTTGCGTATCTAATAATTGTTCTCTAGCTTGCTTTGGATTTTGGGCGGACCACATTTCCAGTTCGTGAAAAGCATATCATGGGTGAAACTAAAAACTTTTCAGTTTCTCCTGTACTTTATCATGATAGTACATAAAGCATATCCATGAGTGGTTGGATTGAGGAGTTGGACTCATCTTTTTGGTTCACGTTATAGTGGCATAACAGAGTTTTTCTGTATATAGAGTTCTTTGGTGTCAATATTAATTGGCTTTTTTAAACCTGATTATGTAGCCTATTAATTTTTCTCGCTTGTCTTTAATATTGCATTCACAAGCTTTTATGTTTTATGTGATTTTTAGGTCTCTCCGTCTCTGCCTTCAGTTTCTGATTGTAATGGCTATAAAGACGTAAGGTATTGTTCGTTCTATATGTTAATATATCTCTTTTCATCATATTTAATTTTTTTAAATATCCATTTTGTTGTGCAGTCACTTAAGTTTTTCTCCTTTTATGCTATATGTAGGGATAGAAGCAGGGATGACACCTTTGCCACCGTTAGAGATCGAAAAGTAAGCAAGCATTCTTATTTGTGTGATTGGTGATGCACAACAATATGAAAATGTCCTTAACAGAAGTTTCAATTTGTATATGCTGTGTGTGTTTGTTATAAGCATGGTCTATAGAGCTTTCATTTAATGCCGGTCACATAGTTATAACACTTTGCGTTATTTTATCATTTGTGTTTTATACTCAGGCAGGGTTGAAATGCTTGAAACATTAGTAAAGGCGAAGCCAAAGTCTATTTACAATGGTTGCACCTGTCATAAACTATATATTTACATACAAACACACATATTAAGTATGATATAGAAATATATCCATCTACTATGTTTAACATTCTCCTCAAAGTCATGCTGAATCATAAACTTAGAGTTTGTCGGGCAACAAAATTTAATTTTGAAGGGCTCGATTTAGTGAAAAATCAACATCCAAAGGATTGAAGATAGGACTGAAAGAATCCCAGCAAGACATTGGTGACGGCAAATGACAGTCCATATGCTTGGTCTACATGTCATACGATTACTAGCAGTTGGAATAGTAGTCACATTATCCCAGAAAAGAAGGGTTTTTTTTTTTTTTTTTGGTGGGGGGGGGGGGGGGGGGGGGGGGGGGGGGGGTTGGGGGATTGTAGCCAAACAATCTTGACAGCTGCAGTTGTTGACATAGCACGGTACTTTAACATCCACAAGATCAGTGAGGCTCGAAGAAAGATACAGAAATCAGTGGTGGAACACTGATTAGTTGACTGTTAAAGAAATTATTTCTTTAACAGTGACATTATCGGTGTAGTCAACATTTGAATACACAAAAAATCTGAGAGTAGATAAGATTAAAGAAATGGACGGATAATTCATAAGACATCGATGTAATGAATGGAGTGGAGCATTTATGAACTAACAAATATCAGACGTAGAAAGAGCATAAATAAGACCACCAACCAGCTTTCGATACAGAGTAGCATTTGAAAGTGTTTTCCATCATTAGGACAAAGCATCACATAAAGCTCTAAAGGAGTGGGTATAGGAGAGATGTGTCAAATGAGCACATGAGTACAATTGGCTGCATATTCATGTTAAGAAAGAAGATAGCCATGTGGATTGTAAGCAACCTCAAGTCTAGTGAAAAAAATCTAAGATCTTTCATCTCAACCTGTGACTGTAAATGCTTTTTGACAGACTCAATATGAAAAGGATTGTCCTAGTAATAACCATATCATCATAGTAGCAAATTAGTAATGTCCGTGAGTTTAGGTAGCATGATAATGCTTACCGAACTGGAAATTGACTAACTAAATGGTTTGGCTATATTTATTAATTGAAGCTCAAATGGCCTGATTAAGAACATTAATAGCTCAATGAAGACAGCAATGTGCCGAGGGTGATAATGACTGGATGGTGTATGCACGCAAACCTCTTCATGAAGGTCATTATAACTTCATTCTTCACGTCAAGCTAATAAAATGGAATTGATGAACAAGAGCCACAATAATCAGCAGGCAAATGGTAGTCATCTTGGTCACATCTCATACCCTAGCACAATCTTTTCCTACATGACCGTTAAAGTTTTTTCCTATAAATTATTTCTCTCGTTCGGGTAATTCTTGAATTGATTTAGTTTTTATGTTCCAAAATTGTGCTCTAGTATGTTCGTCTAATGCTACTTGGGTTCAGAAACACTAAATCACTAATTATATTAACAATATCTCCTCCTAATTCAAGGTTTACTAATATTGTTATATCCCACTTTCTAATATTGGTTACAATGTTTTCTTTTAAATTGTTATCACCCCTATAATCGGTGTGTTTGGGCTAAAATGTTGATTTTTTTTTTCTCCCTCCTACTTATCCAAACACTTGATTTTATTATTATTATTATTGTCAATTAGGTAACACAACCCTTATTCTTTTCATGGGCTTGGGACCAGTAGTATAAAGATAAGACACTAGGTATGCCCTAGGTATGATATGTTAAAAAGGATGTCTTATGACCTCTCACTCATGTTAATATATAAAGAGAGATCTTATAGTGGTTTATTGACACTAAAACTTTGAAGCTGGTTTTGTTGCACGATAATTTATGATGGATTGATATGTTACATTTGATACATATGATTCTTGGGGACGTAGTAACCTGTTATTGTCTTTTTCCTTCTTGCTGTTATTGTCATTTTGCTCCATTTGTAATTACACGGATACGCCTTCCCCCTTCATCCCCGTTCTCCTTTGCCTTTTTATTGCCCAAAGGAAAGACTGATATGTTGATTGTATATAATGTTTTTTTTTGACAGTGAACAAAAAACTATAGGAATGGAAAATTACATGAGGAAGTTATATAAAACTAGAAACTCAACCACTTTCGACATTTTTGAATCATTTTCCGGGCCACTGTTTCCATTATTTGTTTTATTAACAGTATTTGTGCAACTCCTCCTGCCAAAAAAAGTCTGCTGTGTTTCTTGATATAGCTTCTTTCAATAATTGTATAGACATCAATTTCAGCTGTATTCAGTAATTCCCTATCCAGAGGTTAGGAAAAAAGCGAGGAAGATGCCACCTTCCTGAGCTGATACCCCAACAGCATCTTCCATCAGAATGGGATGTTAAACTTAGCAAGATTAAGCTTCCATGATTTGATGAATAAACCTTTAAACATTTCTAAATTTTCAGGGTGATATTGTATATAAATCTTTAATGGATATGAACTATGACTTATTATTTTGGTTTTGAGTATAATCTTCTTGTTGGGGGTTATTTACCTTTGATTTCTGTTTGTAGGTCAGGATCTCTGATGGTTCTTCTCTTTATGCTCTCTGTCGGTCATGGTTGAGGAATGGTTATACCGATGAAAGTCAGGTTTGCGTAATAGACTCTCTCTCTCTCTCTCTCTCTCTCTCGCATCTCATAGCTCTTTATATCAGGATTGCATCTCTTTCTCTCTCTCTCTCACGCACAAAATATTTCTGATCCCTAGAATTTTAAGGGATAATGCAGAACTTTTTTTATTAATTTTTATTTTTCTGTCAAACCCCCTTCCCTACATTACCACGATACAATGAAGAATATAATTTTGTATTAAAGCAGATTTATAATATGGCTCCAGAAATTTTGTTTTGTTTTTTGTTTTGAATAAGATCTTTCATAGTTTTTTATTAATAGATTATAGAACTATATAGAGGGAATGCCGAATGCCTTTATAGATTTTTGTGATATTCCAATCTTAGAAGCAGGCCTTTAGACAATGAATCCTTTCAATATTAGATGGTTACTGTACTTATATGACATTTCTCAAAATTAGTTTGAAAGAATTGAGTGACTCTGCTGCTTACTTCAGCGTTCAGTATTTTGTAATTTCTATATTTATGGTTCCAATACTGTTGAAGTTTGTGCGCATCTTTTATTTTTAACTTAGATTTTCTTCTAGGAATTTTTTTCTTATTCCATTGTTGCTCCCTAATATTTAGGTTGCTTTGCATTTACAGCCACAATATGTGGATGGCGTGAAGTCTCTTCCGAGACCTTTGCCTATACCTGTGGCAGATGCTAACTCGCCTACCACAAAGGAAAGTGATAAAGATCATGAGGAAGAGGAGGAGGTTTGTACTACAAATTATTATTGTTCTTATTGATTTTATTATTAGGACTAGTGAACTACAATGATAGTGATCGTTGGAGACCATAATTTGTTAATTAATAGAAATATTAAGTATTGAATTTATTTCAATTAATATTAGTTAAAACCCCTTTTTACTTTCTGTACCAAAAGTAAAAGACAATTCATTTTTTACTAATATATCTATCATATATATATAATTATATTATGTATACTAATCTACTTTAAGACAAAGTGAAAAAATGAATTCTTATTGTTCTTTCAGTTAATTAATTATCAACTTAAATGTTGTTAGGATCGCCTTATGTTTGTGATTGGTTGAGAATTTCACTAGCCGTAATATGAAAGAATTTAAATCTAAGATTGTTTTTGTTTCTGTGTAATTATATTCTCATAATTAATAGTATGATAGGTTTCTTCAGAAAATATTAATTATTAAGTAATCAAATTATTAATTACCTGTCAGATGACCAAATTGGTTCCTGTAAAAATTATTAAGTTATTAGACATTAATATTAGATGGTGGCTATTTTATTACCTATTATAATGGTGAGGATGTTTGTAATAAACTTATATAAGAAAAAAGAACACTTATTATAAAGTAATAAGGAAAAAGAAAAAATACCAGGGAATAGCATGTAGAATTAGAGATCAATTTGGCACATTTCAAAAACAACTTTGAGAATGTTCAGCTGCTGCATTTCTATCTTAACCTTTTCTAAAAACCAATTTACCACCTTAAATTTTAGAGCTTGAATTGTTTTTTAGTATTTGTTTTAAAGTTTCCCTGATAAGATCATCTTATTTAGATTCAGCATTATGCTTATAACAAAAACCGCTAATCAGCTTCCACACATGATTTTGAATACTGCACAGGTATGGCAATCTATGTGCCAAAAGAAATTTAAAGAAATAGGAGTGAATTCATTTTTTCACATGGTTGGGCCGTCTGTTGCTCTTCCAGCCCATTAAATAAGATAGGTTAGGTCTCAGTCAAGGTTGTGGCCATTGCTTTAGGCACTTGTTCCATGAACCAACTTGTAGCTAACCCTTACGAACAATCCTGGAAGATGTTTGAGAGTTGGTAAATTAGCTTGCATCTAAAAGTAGAACACAGATGAATCAGATGATTTTTAAATGTATATGGGTTATATTTTGAAATACCTTCTTCTCTACTAGTGTTAGTCATCAATCTTTTAATGTTGGGGATTTTTTACTAGTGCTTGCAACTGGATTCACTGCATAGTTGCAGATAGTATTGTGCCTGCCATGTTTATTAAATATTTTGTTTTGTTACTTATGCATCTGTATATTGTCCAAAGAAAAGGAGTAAAATCTACAGGGATAGATAATTACTATTTTGTTGGTAATTTATTATTTTCGTCCAAACAATCCTGTGTTTTTGTGGAGTATTTTTCTGTGAACCTAACAAATTCCCCCATGCGTGAGTCTGTTTTTGCTCTTCTGGTTCCAACTCTTGGTTCATGTTTATAGAGATGGAAGTCATGGAATTACATTTAAAGTTGACAATATGTGACTCACTCACTGCACCTTCAAACTTTTTCCATTCTTCCATGCATATTAGACTGTTGCTTTGGCGAGTAATGCTTTATTTAAAATGGCTTTTCTGATTTTTTTTTTCTTTCCCCTTCTTCTATTTTCTTTGTTTTATTGGGTGTGGGTTGGGGCTGGGGGTTTTAGACTTAACATCTGATGTTTTGCAGTGTTTGTTAATTGTTACCACTAATGAGCTCATTTTTTATTCAATAAGGCAAGCAAGGATGTTAGTGCTCTCCTACATTTATTTTGAAGGGTTCTTTGTTCTTTTATCTTCATTAATTGCATATTATTCTATTATAGTTTATGATTTGACTGGAAAGAAGTATGGAAAAATGTTTCACTTGAAATTGATTTTGTGTAGTTTTGGTCACCTTTTTTAAGTATCAGAAGAAACTTGATACTTAATGAACATCGACAGATTATGAAATGACAAATTGAGTTTTTCTAGCTTTATATTGTAGATAAATATTACAATTCTATATGTATCATATTTTTAGAGTAAATGGTTGTTAACATGGTATTAGAGCAGGCAACGTCCCGTGTTCAAGCCTCACCGTCATCCTCATAATTAAAAATTGAAACATGCGTTGGACCAAAATAAGGCCACACGTGAGGGGATGTGTTGAAGGATTTAAATATTAAAGTTACATCCTCTCTAAAAGCTCAAGCTTTTAGTTTTAAAGTAGATGGTTGTTAACAATATTGACATATTGTATCTATTAGTTCTTATTATTTTTCCAAATTGCAAGTACCGTTGTTGTAATGAATGTCGATCTCTCTATATATCCTAAAATGTTGATTAGTATACGGTTGAATGACAATTATCTTTCTCTGGGGCTGTAAGATGGTGCAGGCTATTTGAGCTTGGTTCTGAGCTTAGCTCGGTAAGATGCTCGCTTGTTAATCTTTTGTTTGAGGTTGAGCAACCTTCTAAGCTCACCTTTGCGTATTTACAATAGCAGTCTCTCTCTGTCCATTGCTTTTAGTTCGTCTTTATCCTTCCTCTCACATTTCTCGCTCCCCCTCTGCAAATTTGTTTATCTGTGTCATTCAATTGCGGAAATGATCTGTTCTATCTGCATTTGCTTTCAGGAGGGATCCGTCGAGCATTTATCTCCACAAAACCTGCTACAAAGACACGTTAAGCGTGCTAAAAGGGTTCGGGCAAGGTAACTTCAACAATTTGTGTTTATATAATATAGATGATGGATATGAAGAGGTTCTCAAATTTTTTTATTTTTTTTGTTTAGATAATATAGATGGAGGATATGAAGAAGTTTCCAATTTTTTTCTCTTTTTCCTTTCAAAAGATGATAGATATTTCAGCATAAGTATAGCTAAAGTTGGTTTTTGTTTTTTTATTTTATTTTTTTAAATTTGTGCAACATAGTTAAGATGCCTCCAGTTTATGACCTGAGGCCTATGTATCGTGAGGTTCTTCCATAGGATTTACTCTTAAGACTCAGTTTTATAATTCTCTCTCAAGTTTCCTAAATAATTCTAAGCCAATTGTAATAAAATTTTCAAGATCAATTAGGAACTTTTTAAATCAGCCTAATTATTAGTTACTCAAAATCTTAAGGTCTTTGGGGTCACTTCCCTTCTCTAAATTGTCTGTTTAATAGAGCTTGAAGCAAGATGTTGTCAGTGTATCTTTTGGCTTAGTCCTCATTCTCCAATCATAGATTTAATGTTGAAACGAACCTTCTGACGGCGTGACACAACACCGTAAATCAAGACAACTTTTACTCGAGGAATATGGCTACACATGACACTTTTTTCCTAGTAGGAATTTGCATGGGCCAGCCAAATTGCCATCCCTAACATCAACACTTCTTGGACGCTTCTGGACACGTGTTCAACACATCTTGGACGTGTTCATAATTCAAAAATTAAATGCTTAAATTTGGAAACATGGCCAACACATGTTGACATGTGCTAACATTATGACTAATGAAACTTTAACGTTGGATGATACTTCTTTTAACATGAATAATTTTCACTTAGTCAAATGGTCAGGTATGTGTAAGCACCTGGGCGGTATGAAAAGGTGTGGTTCTCATGCTTGATGTCAAAACTAGTGCTTCTGCTTCTTTCTTGTCTCATATTGGTTTGCTATTTGCACCTCGCATTTCTTTTGGTAGAATATTGTCAAACAGGTTAGATCTTTGATAGACTTTTGTTACTTCAGGCTTAATTTTGTTTCTAAATTTTCGTGCTTTCTTCTGGTTATTGTTTTGATTGTACTTTCTGGGGAGAAAAAAAAATTTATTATCTATATTTCAATATTGAAATTCTTCCCCATCAACAATATATTGACTGAAATAACAACAATAATCCACACATACCATGTCTGCCATGTCTGAAATGTTATGGTCATTCATAATGGAAAAATATTTGTATGCTGAAGCAATCTTATAGGTAGGGGTGCAACTCGGGTGGGTTTGGTGGGTTGATCAGTCAACCTGAGGTGTATAGACACTTCAGCCCAAGCCTGAGACTGAGTCTGAGCCCAACCTGAGCTCAGCCTCCGCATATTTTTAAAAATTCAAGTTAGGCTCTGGTCATGTTGAGGTTGGATTGTTGGGTTGACCTCAGATTAGTCTTTTGACAGAGTGGAATGTGCATTTGTTAAGGCTTGGCTAGTTGATGTACACCCAAGCTCAAGCTGTTAACTTTAAGAACAACAATATGAAGATGAAGGAAATAAAACAGTAGTCCTCTTATCAACAAATAATTCCAGAACTTTTTGACATAAAATAGCCCCAAACTCCCAATTATAAATTGTTAAATTTCATGTAAAAAAAAAAAAAAAAAAATTGAAAGAAAGAATTTTTTTTTAATAAAACAAGACTCTAAGCATCTTATCTGGTGGTAGTGTATTAGATAGCAATGTGAGGGAAGAGACTCTCGTATACTACTTGCTATGTATAGATCCGGAGGAGGTGAGTCGACGAGTTGCTGAGTTGTTGATTGTGGCTAGGTGGCGAGATTGAGTTTCTGTAATGATGTGTTGTCCGATGATGAGGTAGAATGATGTCGGCTAATTGATGACTAGCGAGGCAAATGGTGGCAGCGGTTGGCATTTCTCACAGGTGATTAGGGTTTCTTTCATTCTCGAGATCTGATTTCTATTATCTAATTATTGTTAGGTTATTTGAGATGAGAAATGTTTATAACAATTATATAAGTTGTTAGATTTAAATAGATGGCCAAGATTTACTCAGTAATATTTTAATAATAATAAAATTAATATTAAAATAATATCTTGGGTTTATGTTGGGTTCAACCTCTCAACCAAAGCACAACCATAACCAGAATTATGATTGGGTTGAGAAATTTGACCCAAGCCCAAGCCTTCCCAAATCTGGGTCGGGTCGGGTTGAAACAAAACCTGTTAGAGTGTGCCTCAAATTCTGTTGAAGATCTGGTTATGGAAGAATTGGACTGGTCCAACTTCTACGGACTGTTCTAACATGCCTGCAGAATTGAAGTTTGTATATTGGTGGAATTGGACCGGTCCAACGCATCTGATTTGTGTGGGATCAATTTCCTTTTCTGTTTGGAACTTTCCAATGGGCCTAGACTTGTGGAGGAAATTGTCTCTCATTAGGATTGAGTTGGCGATTGTTTTGGTTACTCCTTGGTATAAATAGAGCTGAAGTTGGGTGGAGAAGGTAGAGGAGAAAAGAGTGTAATTTTTATATTGAAAGGAAAAATAGTCGTTCTTCACCCGTGGACGTAACCAATTTGCTGAATCACGTAAATTTTATATTGTTCGTGTGTGCTTTCATTTTTTTTATTTGCCATTATAGAGTGAGATCTATGGGGTAATTCCTAACAAGTGGTATTAGAGCCATGGCGGCAACTATTACAGATATAAAAGTATGTGGTTGGAAAGTTTGATCGAAGAAGTAACTTCAGCATATGGCAAGTTCGGATGCGGGATGTATTGATTCAACATGGTTTAGAAGAGATTGCGTGACAAACCAAAAGAGATGGATGACGCAAAGTGGGCGAAGATCAATTCAAGGGCGATGAGTGTTATTCGATTGGTGTTAACAGATGACGTGATGTACAATGTGGTAGAAGAAGCTTCAACAGTGGATATATGAAAGAAGTTGGAGGGTCTTTACATGGGAAAGAATCTCACCAACCGACTAATCCTGAAACAAGAGTTGTACTCCTTTTGTAGAATAGAAGGTGTAAGCTTGCAAGAACATCTTGGTGAGTTTAATGAGATGTGACTTATCGAATGTTGATGTTAAGTTGAGTGATGAAGATAAAACTATTATCTTGTTGACATCGGTACGCTCTACGCATAAGCATTTATTCAATACTTTGCCATGGGAGAGATACAATCACGATGGAACTAGTTATGAGTGCTTTATTCTCCAATGAAGTGTTGAACGGTGAGGATCAACTTCATCAGTCTCAAGCTCTTATTGCACAAGAGAGGAAGAGGTTTGGAGCTCCAAGGAATTTTGTTCCAATGTTAGAGAAAAGGTGTCACAATTGTGGGAAAAAGGGCCATATTAAATGGTGGTGTCCAAAAGGAACGGAGAATGCATTTGTTGCTGATGTTATGTCTGACGCTATGAATGGGGGAAGTAATGTTGATGAAGCCCTTTCAATTGTCTGAGGCTATGCTTGTTCCTTTCATACCTATCTTCATAAAGAGTTGTTTACCTCTTATAAACTTGTAGTTGATAAGGTGTTTATGGGGAATAATTCTTCTTCTGATGTTATGGGAATTGGAACAATCAAGATCAGAACAACGAATGGATTCGTAAGGACCTTGATGAATGTACGTCAAGTTCCAAGTGTTGAAAGGAATGTGATTTTGTAAGGGTTTTGGAATCGAAAGGTTGGTGTGAAGTAAAGCATGGCTTGATGAAGATTAGAAGAGGGCCATGTATCATGCTTTTGGGAAGGAAGGTTAATAATCTCTATGTTTTATTGAGCAATACTTTGTTAGGTGGAGTAGTTATGTAGTTGCAAAGACATAATGGAAGCCTGTTTCTAGATCTACTAAAGTAAGGGATGATCAAAAAGGGCAAGGGAAGGAAGAAATCTTGGCAATTGCACTAGCACCAACTTTCATCCCAGAAGCAAGGAAAGTCTGTTTCGGTAATGTGAGAGTAGATTCCACGTTTGACTATTTCAACTTGGAGTTTGCTTGCAATAGGACAGTTTGATGGAATGGCGAAGAAGGACAAGAAGAAAGAAGATGTTTGGTTTGAGATGGAGGAATCTTTGTTTAAGGTGGAGATTGTTAGCGTGTGCCTCAAATTCTGCTGAAGATTCGGTTATGGAAGAATTGATCCTCTTCAACTTCTGCGGACCAGTCCAACATGCTTGGAGAATTGAAGTTTGTATACTGGAGGAATTGAACTGGTCCAACTTCTACGGACCGGTCCATTGTGCCTGATATGTGCGAGAATCAGTTTCTTTTTCCGTTTGGGACTTTCCAAATGGCTTAGGCTTGTGGAGGAAATTGATTCTCATTGGGATTCTACTATTTTAGAGTTGGTGATTGTTTTGGTAACTCCTTGGTAGACAAGTTGTGGGAATTCTTGTTGAACAAGGAATTGGTAATTGAAGACACTATAAATAGAGGTGAAGTTGGGTGGAGAAGAAAAGTGTGAAGAGAAGGAGAGATTTATAATTGTAAGAGAGAGTTGTGAGGGAGAGAAAGAGTGTGTAATCCTTATATTGAAAAGAAAGATGGTTGTTCTTCGCCCATGGATGTAAACAATTTACTGAACCACGTAAATCTTGTATTGTTTTTGTGTGGCCATTATAGAGTGAGATATTGGAGTAATTCCTAAGAAGACCAAGTTGCACCCTTACTTACAGGGGCCGGGCTTACAATGAGTGTTCCCGTCTACATGGAACAAAAACCAAGGATATTTCTTGTTAGGTTTGTTCATGTAAGTTTAACTACCTTTGAATTTCAGAAGGAAACTTCCATGAGAAGTTAGTTGGTGTAACTTTTTTATTATGAAAACTTACATTATAGTAAACACACTGTGTTTCTCATATGCATGCACTAAAGCATATGGTATATAAATATTATATATTAACAAGTTTCATTATAATAAAAACTTTAATTAAAATATCAGTTTGTATAACATATGTCTCCCCCCCCACACCCCACAACACACACACACACAACAACAGCAACAACAACAAGGACTTGAATTTTTGACTTCCCTTGTGATAGGATGAGGAGATGCCACTAGCTCAGGTTTGTATTTTGTGGACTGGACCCGCATTGGTGGGATGAGTAATGGGTAATAACATCTGATAATTTGTAGGACTGGAACTCGAGGTTCTGATAGAAAGTTGCCTAAGGTCCACTGATTTAGACTTAAATGGGAAGGGGGGTGAATAGGTCTCGTAGAACTAATTATCGGTTTTAACTAATTTTCAAATTAAAATTACTTTAACAGAACTTCAAACTCAGAATTATAGAGAGTTAGCAAGTAGAAAAAATCTAAACAATCTGCAACAATAAAAACATAAAGCAATAGAGACACCAGATATTTACGTGAAAAACCCTAAGCTGGGAAAAAGTAAGGGATTAGGACAACCAAATCCACTATAAGAGAATCCCCTAGTTAACTCTATTTACAACCTAGGTTAGCAGATTCTACCTGAAGAATCCCCTAGTTAACTCTTGACACAGAAGACTTTAAATATTTCCCCGAAAGTCTCCTGGCAGCTCTTCCGCTTATCAATAGCATCCATTCCTCACGAACTTGCTTCTCTAGCAATTCGGTTTCAGGCACTAGTCAATTGTTAAACAGTTAATTGAACACTGTGTTGAACTCTTCTTTGTATTACACAACAATGAATGTCAACACATGAATACACTCGCCAAAACTAAGTATGATGAATGCTATTATCTGCTATGTATGATATTCTCTGTGTGCGTATATATGAGCTATTCAGTTCTGCCTTAGCATAGTGCTTATATAGGCAACCAAGTAGTATAGAGTGAATAGGGTAGGTAGTGTTTAAAACCAAGTTGGAAATTGCTTTCTAGAAAGGTTTTATTGATCAGAAATTCTCATCAATCGATCAACATCAGTCCATATCGCTTCGATCGATACCTTGATGGATCAAATTCTTTTGTAGGTTTATACTTAACAAAAAGTTTTGAAAGGAAGTTTCCAAAACTCTTTTCGTGCAAGTTTAAAATAATTTAAGGCTTCAATCAAGTTGAAAACATGAAACTTTAGAAACCCTAGATATGCATGCATTAACCCTAATTTGGTGAGTATATCAATGTGTTGAACTGTCGATTTACTTTTATACCCTTATAGACGAAGATCACCAGATTGCTGTAGCATTATTTCCATTGTTTGACTAGGGGAGGTAACCAACACTAACTTTTGTTTTAATTTTCAAATCTAAGGTAAAAATTAAAAAACAAGTTATAGACCCAAGTTCTGATCTACAAAATTTGCCAACCGAAGTCCTATTGACCTAACTGTATAAAATAAACATGTCCAGGCGTTCAAATCAATAGATTAAATTAAATATAAACAAAAATTGAAAAGTACTTGTTGGAAGCTATGTTGCTAGATTTCTTCCATTGTGCTCTGGTATACAATATATATTTCTTCCATTGACCTACTTAACTCGGTGGTTAGAGTATTGCGACTAACATATTTTTTCACGGTAGCAGGATCGCTATAACCAACTCCATTGAGTTCGCCACCGCAGAACTCAACAGTCACACCTACTTGTTCAACACTATACTTAGATTCTACCCTTCTAAAAGGAACATTGGCTCTAACAATTCCGTCTTCGTCTACCAAACGATTGGAAATGTTTCAAAAAAGGTAGGCATATGACGTACAAAAAGTTCATGTCCTTCTTTATCGCTAAAGATAGGGTGTCCTACAACTTGAGTGTGTTTATCAGCTGGATGATTTGATTGACTCAAGTAATTCAAGATCAAAGGCTTTGGACTTCAAAGGAACTCGCAAGAAGATTCAAATTCTATGATGAATTTGAAATCTGATAAAAGCCACATGATAACGGAACTCAAAGCTCAATGGCAAAGTTGAAGTGGATCCAAGCCTTATGATGGTGGATCCAAAAGCTCAAAGATTGAAGATCAAGACTTGGGATGATTAGTCTAGGGTTAGTGTTAAACTTATTGTGAAGTTATTTTTAAAGTAACTTGATTTGAAAGCTCAACTCTTGATTTAGTGGACTCTAGGACCCAATACACTTCATGGATATCATTTCAATGGTCCTTAGATACTTGACGTAGGCCATAAACTTAATTGATTCATCTTATAAGCCATAAGTTGACTTTGAGTTGGTTCATGCTTGTCAAAGCTTTCAAAGAACTCGACTAAGAACTCAACTCATGTCTTAGGAAACTCTAGGACCCACACTTGAAATGAATGATACATTTAAAGGTCCTTAGATGCTTAGCAATAAGCCTTGGAATTGATTGAATCATATTAAAAGGTCTTAGTTGTTAGTGGAATAACGTAGGCTTATTTAAAGATTAAAGGGACTTAAATTTGACAAAATGAGCATGGCAGTCGACTACTTTGGTCCAGAGCTCTCATACTTTTTGACTTAATGCAAGTTGTTCACTACTCTTGTAGTATCAGTCAACATAAACATTCCAGTATGTTGGACCCACTGACTTCCTTGAAGTCACAAATTCAGTCGACCGATTTTGTCCCGTGTGTTGAGGCACATTATGGACAATTAAATCAGTCGACTACTTCTTTCAATCAGTTGACTACTTTCGTCATATTTCAAAATCCAACGGCTAGTTTAACAGTCCTTTGAGCATTTAGTGCTCCATGCAACTATATTTCTTGTAGGGTCTACAAATACTCATTGTTGTATGAATTTTGAGAACTACCACTATGCATACACTTGAGCATCTCTTGTTAGCAGAAGCTACCATTGATCTTAAAGTTGAATATCATTCATTGGTAGGAATCACTATTGAGCCGAAACTTGAATATCATTCACTGTGGTTAAACCATAGAGCCGAGCTTTCACTTGAATGCTTCATTTATAACTCTAGGATTGTGAGGTATTATTTATATATCTACCTTTGAGAGAGATCCACTTTTGTACTCCAAACTATAAACCTTTATTTATTGAGAGTTCAAGGAGGGTTGGTGTAACCCTTGTGAAGACTAAGTGAAAGGGATTTCACTTAGCAGAGGGAGCTTGGAAAATCTTGTAAAGGTTTGCTCTTCGCCCGCAAGAAGAGTGGCTGTACCAGTTTGCTCTCGATCTGCAAGAGAGAGTGGTTGTAAAGGTTTGCTCTTCACCTGGAAGAAGAGTGTATAAAGGTTCTACTCTTCACCTGCAAGAAGAGTCCCGTAGTGAATTTGAGAATCCTCGAGAAGCATCTTGAGGCGTGGACGTAGGTGGGAGTGCCGAATCATGTTGCGACTTTTTGTTTATCTTTTTTTCTCCCCTATCTCTTTACTTTCATTTGTGTTTATTTGATTCTCTCTGTGTTTTCTTTTTGGAATGTGTATGGATCATGTGTTGGGATTTTTTTGGTATATGGAATATGTCTTTTATTGATCATAGCTTATACTATGAATTAATAAATTGATCATTAAATTGACATTACATAAATAAAATATGATTGTGTGCTCATTTGGTTATATCTCTCTATTTGATTTTGGTTAGCACATATTAATAATAAAAAAGGTATAATACATTGTTTGCCATAGACTCAATTCCCCCCGCTACCGTAACAACACACATTCTTGGGTCAATACTTTGGTGACAATATTCTTTCGGGACGCATGTTTTCTTCCAGGGACAGTTGGAGTTGGGTGAAGGAGTCTTGCCACAGTGGATTATGTTAAATTGGAGATTGCATCTGGCGCATATGCACTTCATTTTAATTTTATAGATGTTTTAGCATGTGAAGCCAAAATGTCTAAATAGGATTATCTTGATATCTACTTAATGATACTTGGCTGCTTTTTTCACTAATCAACACCCAAAGTTTTTGCATGCTTTGTTCAATTGAGAGTAACTCCACAAAGTACTTCTATATGCTTCCCTCTTTTGAAATTGAACCATATTCATCTTGGAAAATCTATGGAATATTAATATATATATATATATATATATATATATATATATATATATATAATACACGTATCTCTATTATTGTTGCTGAATCTCCATCACACCAAAAAATATAAAAGAAAAGGAGAAATAACAGTGTGAAAAAGGAGCTTATGATTTTTGATATTGTATCGAGAAGTTCTCAACTATCAGTTTTTAAATTCATAAAATATGCATAAAAAAACCAATCTTGCTACATTGATGCTTTGGCTTCAGATTAAGGGAAGAGCGTCTTCAACGAATTGCGAGGTACAAAACTAGGCTTGCTCTTCTCCTTCCCCCAGTTGTAGAGCAACATTTCAGAAATGACATGTCTGCTGGGAACTGATGAACCGCTGTATGATCTGAAATCCTAGCTGAATGTTGGGCTCTTTAACTTGCATCACGCTTAAAGCTATTAAATTAACGAGCAAAGTTCTCTCAACATTAGCGAGGAAGATGAAGCACTCATTTGGTGGCATGATGTTTATTGGAAAGTTGCTGAATCTGAATGGGAGTGAAACAAAAGCAGTAGCAGAGCAATCTGTTTGTTCTTGAATCATTTTTACTTGTAAACTGTTATTTTTACGTCATTGTGCAGTATATGGGCTTACTAATATTTAATTGAGTACCTGTAGTGGGTTTGGAAATTTAACTTATCACTGATGCTTTTACATAGAATTTAAGCACACCAATATTTACCTTAACCTGGAGATATCAATTTTAAACACCAAATAGAAGTAAATTGATGTGTTAAAAATGATGTGCAGTTGCAGTTTTGGATTGTTATAGATGTCTGCGTGCCGTCATGGATTTGGACCTTTCCAAGCTCACGTGGTTGGGGGGCGTGACATTAAGCACACTTGTGAGTTTGTATTGAGTTGAGTTGTGATACAGAGTCCGACTCTCGGACTAATCCGATGTATATATGTGAGGGTGATGATGTTATTAAATGACGTTATTGGACTCACATAAATGACTCTCAGACTATTCCGATTGCATTTATGTGAGAGATGATGTTATTAATGATGTCATAATGATGTTATGGGACTCACATAAATGCAGTTGGATTAGTGACTACTTATCGTTTTCTTACTACTGGATAAAACCCTTTTCCTTTGTTTGTGAACCAAATTGTAGGTTATGATATCATAAGCTTTAGAGTTGAATGAATCAAGTTAGTATGTTTTTTTTTTCTTGGTTAACCAAATAAAAGAAAAAAGTGAAACATATGTACTAAATTGGAGCACCATTTTAGTGACTACAACAAAATAAACGTTTTTATACAATTCCATTTCCTCCAGTAGGCATGTTTTGACTATTAAGCTTTATGTTTTTCTCTAGCTACTTCCATTTTCTTCCAATTATTATATGAGTCACCATGGAAAGAAAATTTCATTACAAGGCATAGAAAATATATACATTTCTCAAAATTTCTATCATAAACTAATGTAGTCAATTGTTGACAATTTGGACTCAACATGGCACAGCATAATTATGGTAATAGTTGAACTAAATATTTTAAAATATAATAGTTTATTTTATTAATTATTACGTAAAAGCAGTTGTTAAACGCTATTTATTGAAATCGCCAAAAATATTGATGCAAACATTATAGCGTTAATCATTAGAAATTGAAAGATAAAAGTACGGTGAAAATCCAGTAATGTCACAGGCCTTCCAAACCAAAATATATCACCTCCAACTTCCTATGAACATGTCCATCTTTCCGGCACACACACACACACACACACACACACACACACACACATATATATATGTATATTATTGCACTACCACCTACTTCCTAGAAAATCTTCAATTTCTTAGTCTTGATTGTTACAATCCCAAATTCTCAACTGAAATCATTATTTATTTCAGGGATTCAACGATAAGAATGAGGCTTGGAAATGTTGTCATGGTCAATAGCTTTTTCTCTTTTCAAATTTCAACTCTCCAAATGTTTTTCATTCAATTCCCAAATCATTACCAGATCTTGTGGACCCCTAACCATGATTTTTTACTTACGTGTTATATTGATTTTCTTGCAACCTTGTCCCCATTTCCGGACATTATTAATACCCGCCCGTTAGGTACTCGTTCCATCCCATGGTTAAATGGTCTTGGAGCCAGAGAAGAGGTATTAGGATTGAAAATTCGCACGGTTATAAAGTTGGAATGACAAAATTTTACCCGTTTATAATAATTAATTATAATTTAATTTTTAAATTCAATAATATTAAGTATATATTAAACAGAGTTTAATTTATTATATTCCAATCATTATATGTTCTTTTGTATTATTTTTATTTAATACATAATTTTAGTATTAAGTTACAATTGAGAAGTTGAACATTGTCCTCTTCTCTGCATAAGAGAGAAAAATTTATAATCATAGTTAAAAATTTATTTTATTATTTACTTTAGTTAAATTCGCATTACAATTATAAAAATATTTTACAAAACTTGCCTCCGTCCTGTCCCTACCCCGTTTAATAAACGATTTTGGGATGGAAATGAGGGTAGCTATTCTAAACAGAGATGTGAATGACGTTCTTCGCCCCAAACCGCCCAATTGTCATCCCTAGGTCTTAAATTATGCGTACGACCCAACCACAACTTGACACAAAAGAAATTTTAAAATATCCGTTTCAATTTTATTCAGTTTTTTTATTCACTTAGGTTATGATTGGTCAGGACTATGATCCCATACCATGTAATAATTGTTTTTCTATTCAGTAGTGACAATAAATAGGTACTATTGTCTCTTTTTCTAAATTCATGGTCCTGACCAATCACATGCAGTAATTTATACAATTGTATAAGCTTTTTGCAACTTTTGCTTACATAGTCGCATTCGATTAGTGGAGATTATGTAATAATCTCTCATATATATATATATATATATATATAATTTATTAAGTTGTCAAAACTAGAAGAACATAAAATATTTTTGCACTTATTTAGATATTATAAAAGGGGATCATAGATTGATGAAATGGTGAGTTTTTTATTTTTTAAAAAACAAATAATTCTCACACTAATTTGTCTAAACTTAAAAGCTTAACCTTTTACTCTAGAATGTAAAAGAGTCCACAAAGAGCATCTCCAATGGGGCTGCCATATGGGTTGTCAATTCAAAATATTGCAGGTGGGTTTAAAAATGGGTTCTTCAATGCAATGTTATATGGACTGCTACTTTTTAACTTTGCTATTTCTTAGGCCAATTGTAGCAAAAGAAATAACAATTGCTATATGGGCTGGGCCTACAGAAAAGAAGGGACCGGCTCCAGAAGGTGACAGAGCGAAGATGCTTTACTCGAGTGCTAATCCTGAAGTATATGTTTCCCTGTAGAATATAAAATAAATGTCAAAAATGAATTCTTGCATACTTTATTTTGTTGAAATAAAAAAAAATTTTTTTTTTTTTTTAAAATTTTTTTTTGAATATGGAATGAAACTGGTAATTACTACTGATAACTTTTATTTTGTTGTTAATTGTAAACTATTGATAATATATTTGTTGTTGAATTAATAAGCTCAATTTATTATAGATAATAAAATATAAGACAACTTTCGTGCTCCAAATAGTCCAATCAATTAAAAAAGTCAAAAAAAAGTAATAATAAATTAATAAGCTCAATTTATCTTTCAAATATATAAATTTATACTTATATATATATATATTGGTCCTTTTTTGATCAGATATTTTAAATTTTTGCTTCTTTTTAATTAGGTTTAATTTTAGTTTCCTTCTAATCTCTACAACTTGACTTGAAATGTGCCTAATATTAATATTACTGATGCAAATATGAATGGTGGGAATAATAGTTGAAAAAGAATGATGGTTGTGTCAAAAAATAGCATTTTGCATGAAATGCACAATTGGAACATAATTGCTAAAATGTAGCATTTTGACACTGCACCACCTGTCAAAATATAAATTTGACATGCCAAAATAACTTTTAGCATTGGAGATGGCCTAATGAATTACAATAATAATACATGTTAAATGATGTCTATCATAGATCAAAAGAAAAAAAACAAATGTTTTATTGTATTTTTCCAAAAAAAAAAAAAATTATTTTATTTTTCCAAAGAAAAAAAAAATCCCAACAGTAGTCAGAAATATCATTGATTAGTTTTTTTTTTTACAAGACAAGAAGGGTTAGAAGTTAGATTAGTAAATACAGAGAGTCAAACTTAACACTCCAAAATGAATTTTTACTTACCTAATATATTGATTTTCTTGCGGACCTTGTCTCTATTTCAAGACATTATAACATGGTCCGAAAATTACACAGTCTCAACTAATCACAACTTGATACATAATTAATTTTGTAATATTTTATTTTGACATAAACAAAAGTCTCAATTTTATTCAATTTTTCATTTGCATATCAATCAAGTTGTGATTGATCGCGACGTGTAGTACCATACTATTTAATAATTATTTTTCTATTCACCAATAACAATAGTGCACTACTCTACATTATCCGGAATTAGATGGTCCTGGCCAATCACATATAATTATTTATGTAATTGTATCTACTTGGTAAAACTAAAACAACATGAAATATTTTGACATTTAATTATATATTATAAAGAGAAATATATTGATAGGGCCTACTTTCTCTCGAGATATTTTTACATTATCTGAGATGACGTAGTCTTGACCAATCATATGCAGTTATTTATGAAATTGTGTTTACTTGTTAAAACTAAAAAAACACATGAAATATTTTGGCATTTATTTAGATATTATAAAGGGCATCATAGATTCATGAAATAGTGAATTTTTTATTTTTTAAAAAACTAATAATTCAAAGTTCCATTTTTCACTTTAAAATGTAGGGTAAAGTACAGCCACACCCCTAAGGTTTGGTAAAAAGACATTCAGATAAAACTTACTTGTTTTTTGGATAAAGACACACCCTAAAGGTTCAAAAAGGACAAAGATACCTCTTTACATAATAAATTGACCAAATTACCCTTTGACCATTTAGAAGACTTTTTTAACCTTACAATTTAATAAATTAGACCAATATACCCTCATGAACAATTTATGTATAAAAAAAAGTAACAAAAAAAAAAAAAAAAAATTATATTGTTCACTTTTTTTTCTTTTTTTTTTTTTGTTATTTACTTTATAAATGTCCCAACTTCTAAAAAACGTAGACGTCTAAAATAATTTTTTGATCCAATACATATATTTTAAATAAATTATATTTTGTTATTAATTCTTTTCTTTTTCTTTTTCTTTTTTATTTTTAAATTAAGATGCTTAATTCTTTCATCTAAAAAAAATAAACAAATATTCTCTTTTTCTTAAAAATAAAAAATTTGGTACCAGTATAACTTTATGCATCTTAAATTATATATCAAATATTATGCATTTCCAAACATAAAAGGGAAAAAAAAAATAATAAAACAAAGGGAAAAAAAAAAAAAAAAAACAAAGACATGCATAAAGTTATACTGGTACCTATTTTCTTTTATATTGAGAAATGCATAATATTTGATATATAATTTAAGATGCATAAAGTTATACTGGTACTATATTTTTTATTTTTAAGGAAAAGAGATTGGTTTAATTTTTTTAGATGAAAGAATTAAGTATCTTAATTTAAAAAGAAAAAGAAAAAGAAAATAAGTAATAACAAAATATAATTTATTTGAAATATATGTATTAAATTAAAAAATCACTTTAGACGTCTACATTTTAAAGAAGTTGGGATATTTATA